AGGAGGGTGCCCGTTTCTCCACATCCTCGCCAGCATCTAGAGTTCTCTGATTTGCTCATTTTAGCCACTCTGACTGGCGTGAGGTGGTATCTCAGTGTGGTTTTGATTTGTATTTCCCTGATGAGGAGCGATGCTGAGCATCGTTTCATGTGTCTGTTGGCCATCTGGATGTCCTCTTTGGAGAAGTATCTGTTCATATCTTCTGCCCATTTCTTCACTGGGTTGTTTGTTTTTCGGGCATGTAGTTTGGCGAGTTCCTTATCAAGAGCAAAAATAAATTGTTGGGACCTCATCAAGATTAAAAGCTTCTGCACAGCCAAGTGAATTTGTTTTATATGTGATTCATGTAAATGGCATAAGTTTCATTCTATAACTTCTATAAGTAACATTTCACGACTTTTTACTCAGCAATCTAGCTTAAAGATCTAACCATGTTACATTATAGAACTAGGTAATCCCTTTTAGTCCCATTCCTGAAAGGTAATTTCCTTTTATGGAATTTTAGTAAAATTCCATACTATCGATATATCACAGTTCTAATTGGTATTTTTAGCTATTCCTCATTTTCTTAACTATTTGCCAGGATGAATAAGTGTAAATAATAAATACCTCCTTATGTACAGATGCAAGGTTTTTTAAAATATTTTTTAATGTTTATTTATTTTTGAGAAAGAGAGAGAGAGAGAGCATGAGCAGGGGAAGGGCAGGGAGAGAGGGAGACACAGAATCTGAAGCAGGCTCCAGGCTCTGAGCTGTCAGCACATAGTCCGACACAGGGCTTGAACTTATGAACAGGGAGGTCATGATATAAGCCGAAGTCCTATGTCCAACTGACTGAACCACCCAGACACCCCGCAAGTATTTTTTTAAAGTGTTTATTTATTTTGAGAGAGAGAAAGAGAGAGAGTGAGCAGGTGAGGGGCAGAGAGAGAAAAGGAGACAGAGAATCCCAAGCAGGATCTGAACTGTTGGCACAGAGCCTGATTTGGGGCTTGATCCCACAAGCCACGAGATCATGACTTGAGCCAAAACCAAGAGTCAGACACTTAACGGACTGAGCCACCCAGGCGCCCCCAGATGCAAGTATATTTACGGTACATACCAAAATGTGAAATTCCTAATTAAGGCAATATGTATATTATTCAGCTATAATAGAATGTTAAAAACCCTTTCTTTATTTCCTAAATATGTTAAATATTCCCACCGGTTTATATTTCCCTCCATTTTCACCATCATATTTTACCATGAAAGTTTTAAATTTTGGTAAAAAATTTGGATGAAAAAATATAATGTTTTAATCTGAATCTCTACAATCACAAGTGAGGATGAGCTAATTTTTACATATTTATGAATGTCTTCACATCCTGTGACCTCTCAGGTCGTAGTGGTTTGGGGTTTTTTTCTGATCCATCTGTATTGCACTCAATAGATTCTTTTTTTTTTGTAATAGTTTATTGTCAAGTTGGCTTCCATATAACACCCAGTGTTCATCCCCACAAGTGCCCTCCTCCATGCCTATCACCCCCTTCCCCTCCCCCCCACCCCCATCAGTCCTCAGTTTGTTCTCGGCATTCAAGAGTCTCTCATGGTTTGCCTCTCTCCCTCTCTCCCACTACTTTTCCCCCCTTCTTCTCCCCTATTAGGGTCCTCCGTTAATTAGATTCTTTATCTATTGAATAAGTTGCATTTTTCTTGGTTAATAATTTGTTTTTTACATTTTTTATGGCATCTGGGTTTTTAAAAATGTTTATTTATTTTGAGACAGGAGGGAAGGGACAGAAAGAGAGAGAGAGGATCCACTCAGATTGTTTTCTTACAAAAATTTCTTGGGGGGAAGTTAATAGAGGTTTTTTAATATGCAAATAATACAGGGCCCCTGGGTGTCTCAGTTGGTTAAGCACCCAACTCTTAATATCGGCTCAGGTCATGATCAGCTTCATAAGTTCAAGCCCCATGTCACCTGCTTGGGATTCTCTCTCTCCCTCTCTCTCTGCCCCTCCATATTTGTGTGCAAGTGTGTACATGCTCTTTCTCTCTCTCTGTATCAAAAAAATACATTAAATTAAAAAAAAATTTTAACATACAAATAATACATATATAATATAATGTATATATGTATATACAATGTATGTATACATTATTATCTATTTTATATGTAATATAAATATATTTATATATAATATATACTTTAATATACAATTACTTTATATAATATATACACATATAATATACATACATAATACATATACATATATATTACATATACATATATGTAGTACATACATAATACATATATAATATTATATAATTATATATTATATATACAGTTGCATATCTAAATTTTAATTTAGAATTTGGAAATAAGTGTACACCTGTAAGATTGTCACCACAATTTCCACCTTAAACCTATCCGTCACTTCCAGAAGTTTCCTTCCACTCTTAGTATCATATTTTCTGTGTGATAGGATCACTTAGTATGAAATCTATCCTATTAGCAAATGAACATTTAAGTGTTCAGTATGGTATTGTTAATAGCAGGCATTCTTCTACGCAAGAGATCTCTACAGCGTAACCTTCCTGCATGACTGAAATTTTGTACCCTCTGACTAAAGTTTCAATATTAATTTCATGAGGAAGGGGATGCAGCATGAAGGTAAATGCTACATTTCTCTTTCATCGTCATGCAATTCACCAATCCGGAAATGGCAGTACATATATGCCTATCAGCAGCAATTATTTTATGTTCAGTGAGTCAGACACTGTTCACCTTCACCTCCAGGCTCAATGTCTCGGGCTCCCCTAAGAGTACTGTCTTCATAGCTGTGACATTTGAGGGCAGTCAAGACAGCATTATTGCAAGAATTTGGAAATTTCAGGGGCGCCTGGGTGGCTTAGTCGGTTAAGCGTCCAACTTTCGCTTAGGTCATGATCTCGCAGTTCGCGGGTTCGAGCCCCGCGTCGGGCTCTGTGCTGACTGCCAGCTCAAAGCCTGGAGCCTGTTTCAGTCTGTGACTCCCACTCTCTCTGACCCTCCCCTGCTCACGCTGTCTCTCTCTCTCTCTCCTAAGAAATAAATAAAACATTTAAAAAAAAAAAGAATTTGGAAATTTCAGAGATTTCTCCTTTGCTTATATATATATTAGGGTTTTTTTTTTTTTTCAAACAACTGTCGAGTAAGGCGGTTATGGATAGATCCTAAACGAATCATCTTGTGATAACCATCTCATGCTAGCCACAGAACGGTCACAACAGAGTCACAACATTAGGAGACTTGTGAATTTGTAGCCTTTGGAATGCCCTCTACATACAGGGAGGAAAGAGGGATGGGAAAAGAGAATTTCTGGAAATCTCAGAATCCCGTTCGTACACATTTAAGATATTTTTTTTAAAAAAGGGACATATTGAAAGAGGGACGACTTTTCAGAAGTTTAAGGAAGGCACAGTTGTGGCTTCTGTGTTTTGGAGCTCTTCAGGAAGACATATAGCAGAGACAAGTTTCATTACGGCTTATTTGTCTGTTTCTCTAGGTTCTGGAGCGTCTGAACAACTATCTCTGAAGCTGCCACTGAATGTGGTAGAAGAATCTGCCCGAGCCTCCGTCTCAGTATTGGGTGAGCTCCAGCCCTGGGACTTGTTCTGCTATATGGGCAGTTTTTACTGTATTTCTTTCCCATAAATACTCAAAATAACAGCTATAATTTTAACTTCATTCTTACCCCCTTCTTCAGGCTTGTTCATTGCTCTCAATCATACTTCCGTCCCTGGACAACTCACCCTTGCTAAGAATCTTCATTTTCCAGCATTCCTAAAGTTATTCATTTCTTCCTAAGGACTCGGATTGATTATAATCCATAAGCTTTATGACATCTCATCTCTCCCATTCTCTAGGAGATATCTTGGGCTCTGCCATGCAAAATATACAAAATCTCCTCCAAATGCCCTACAGCTGTGGTGAACAGAATATGGTCCTCTTTGCTCCTAACATCTACGTTCTGAATTATCTAAATAATACACAACAGTTGACTCCAGAGGTCAAGTCCAAGGCCATTGGCTACCTCAATAATGGTGAGCGATTAAGCGAGTGAGTGAAACCTTTGCAGTGTCATTTTAACAATTGACTGGATTTCCCAATAGGCTTCACTTACTTATCAATTCTATAACGTGTTGGCTTATCATAGTATCATAGTTACTTTGATACAAACGCTGTGACTGCTAATTTTATGGTAACTATGCAGGGTCCATCCCCCCATAAATGTTTAGGGCTCAGACCCTTCTAATATATGACAGCAGAATTTAAGAAATGTCACCAAAGGGATGCCTGGATGGTCCGAATCTCGCAGTTTGTGGGTTCGAGCCCCACATCAGGCTCTCAGCTGTCAGTACGGAGCCTGCTTGGGAGCCTCTGCCCTCTCTCTCTCTATGCCCCTCTCCCACTTGTGTGCTCTCTCTATCAAAATAAATGTTTTTTTTTTTAATTTAAAAAGAAAGAAATACCACCAGAGACTGAGGGATTTTGGTAATTTTTCTGGCCACAACGCATACTGTCTGTCATACTGTTTCATTAACCTTCTTTTCCAGGTTACCAGAGACAGCTGAACTATAAGCACTATGATGGCTCCTATAGCACCTTTGGGGAACAACATGGCAGGGGTGAGGGCAATACCTGGTAAGGGATAGACAGCTTTTTGAGCTCCTGTTTCTGTACCAGCTCTTGTACATATATTATCACAAGTATATTCACAGTAACCTTATCAGATAGGTATTATTAAACGTATAGTTGGTTACACTTGACACCTATATCAAGACTAGCGAGATAACCAGCAGAAAGGCTGACACTCAAATACATGTATGTTAGATCTGTCCCAAAATTCATCCTGTTAATAGTAACAAGGGTATTCTTTCTAAAACAGCTATTTTTGGGAAGGCTTTTGGGTGGCTCAGTCAGTTAAGCACCTGATTCTTGATTTTGGCTAAGGTCATGATCTCATGGTTTGTGAGTTCGAGCCCTGAATCAGGCTCTGTGCTGACAGCTCAGAGCCAACTTGGGATTTTCTCTCCCTCTCTCTGACCCTCCCCCACTTGTGCTCTCTCTCTCTCTTTCTCTCTCCCTCAAAATAAATAAACTTCTAAAAAATAGAGTAACATTTAAAAAGAATAATAGTAAAATAAAATAACTATTTTGGGGGGGGCACCTGGCTTGCTTAATCAATAGAGCATGTGATATTTGACCTCGAGTTGAAAGTTCGAGCTCCATGTTGGGTGTAGAGATTACTTAAAATCTTTTTGACAATAATAATAAAATTGGGGTGCCTGGGTGGCTCAGTCAGTTAAGCGTCCAACTTCAGCTCAGGTCATGATCTCACAGTCTGTGAGTTCAAGGCCTGTGTCAGGTTCTATGCTTACAGCTCAGAGCCTGAAGCCTGCTTCAGATTCTTTTGTCTCTCTCTCTCTCTCTGCCCCTCCCCCACTCATGCTCTGTCTCTCTCTCTCTCTCTCCATCAAAAATTAAATAAACATTTATAAAATTTTTTAAATGATAATAAAATAAAATAGTTATTTTTAAGTGGCTATTTTTTTCTAAAATAGCTCCCATAACCATGAGTTTGTAAATAATATGGCCAGAAGCCCCTGGGTGGCTCAGTCAGTTAAGCGTCCTACTTCGGCTCAGGTCATGATCTCACAGTTCATGGGTTCGAGCCCTGCATCAGGCTCTGTGCTGACAGCTAGCTCAGAGCCTGGAGCCTGCTTCTGATTCTTTGTCTCCCTCTCTCTCTGACTCTCCCCTGCTCACACTGCCTCTCTCTCTCTCTCTCTCTCTCTCTCTCTCTCTCAGAAATAAATAAAACATTTAAAAATTTTTTTAAATAAATAATATGGCCAGTGAACATGTCATATGACTTTTAGATAAATCATATTAACTTCAATTTATGGTATTTTTTAGATCATACTCATCTTGACTGAGAACAAATTCACTCATAGGAAGAAAAAAATGAGGAGGACCCAGTGACATGAAACGCTTTAAAATCCCTAAGGCAAAGCAAAGCAAAGCAGTTAGAAGTTACTACAGTCTTCTGTAGAAGATTCTGCCATGTACTCTTTAAAGAGAAGAAAGATGGAAAGCCTTACTCAAATAAGTAAAAATAAGTAACCCTAGAAGAACATTAGAACATGACTCACTGTAGCAAAGAGTAAATGAATCAGCAAGGAAATACTAGATCTAGCAGATTAATCAAGCAGTCTAAAGGAGGCGGGAGTTCTAAATATCCATGCATACCTGTCAAGTGACTAACCTCAATGCAAATGCTGTCATGTGAAGCATGTTACTGTGACACAGTTATAAAACTATTGTAACGACATGATATCATTATTGCCTCCCTCCTGCTCAGGCTCACCGCCTTTGTACTGAAGACTTTTGCCCAGGCTCGAGCCTACATCTTCATCGATGAGGCACACATCCACCAAGCCCTCATGTGGCTCTCTCAAAAGCAGAAGGACAATGGCTGTTTCAGGAGCTCTGGGTCTCTGCTTAACAATGCCATTAAGGTGAGGTGCTCATGGAATTACCTTTGATCTGTCCATCCTGATGTCTACAAGGAGATGAGGAGAGGAAGTAATAATATAGGAATCCCTTAAGAAAGAGAAAGAAAGAAAGAGAGAGAGAGAGAGAGAGGGAGGGAGGAAGAAAGAAAGGAAGGAAGAAAGAAAGGAAGAGAGAGAAAGAAATTCTGGATAGTACCAAGAAGGAGGGGATGGAACGTAGGTTGATTGTGCTCATTTGCCCCCAAGGGGATGCATATGAGTAAGGATACATTCCATGACACACAAGGAACTGATTAAGAGCATTCTCAGAAGTTAAAGTAATCAAATCTCTCTCTCTCTTGACCCCCCCATACTTACAGGGTGGAGTGGACGACGAAGTGACCCTCTCTGCCTATATCACCATCGCCTTTCTAGAGATTCATCTCCCCGCCACTGTAGGTACCACCTCATTCCCCTGCTGGGGTGTAGTTCTGGATGCAATGAAACTGCTGCCCTGCTGTCAGAGATATCACCTTACTACATGCCAAGGATCAGCTTTCCTTCTAGGCCAGGCCAGTGCTTCTCAGATCAATAGAAAATGTGGTCAATCCATTAAGAAAGATACACGCTATCCCAGTGATGCCCCTAAGCTATTTCTCCCCTGAGATCTCCCACTACTGCCATATATACACCCAAAATGAGTTCTAAAAATATGGTCTGTGTTCCTGCCTTATGAATGTGATAATAACATAAAAAATGACAATAGATGGGGGCGCCTGGGTGGCTCAGTTGGTTAAGCGTCTCTCACTCTTGATTTTTAGCTCAGGTCATGAGCTCGCGGTTCATGGAATCGAGCCCCACATCAGGCTCTGCACTGACAGCATGGAGCCTGCTTGGGATTCTCTGTTTCTCCCTCTCTCTCTGCCCATCTCTCCCCCTCCTGAGAGGCTCTCAAAATAAATAAATGAACATTAAAAAAAAAAAAAGCATGAGAATAGACGGACACATGCATTTGACAAATTATGCACGTTTACCTGAGAAAGCCAGTGTCCCTGTTCACATAGCTTGGTTCCCCCCTTGTTTTCCCTCCTCAGCACCCTGTTGTCCGCAACGCCCTGTTCTGCTTGGAGTCAGCCTGGAATTCAGCCAAGGAAGGACGCTATGAACAGCACATCTACACCACGGCACTGTTGGCCTATGCTTTTGCCCTGGTAGGTAACCAGGACCGGAGCAAGGAGATACTCCACTTACTTAATGAGGAAGCCGTGAAGGAAGGTGAGCAAACATCCCACACTCTCTACCTCCTGTGGTAGCGTTCCCCTCTCTTCTTTTGTCTATATCATCACAAAATCTGGAATTTCTTAAGCAAGTCACACATCAGAAGCTAAGAGGCAGTGTACCATAGTAGTGAGAAGATCAGCCTCTGTAGACTAGCTCCAAAATGTTTTGACCTGTGTGACCTTGGGCAGGTCGCTTCACTTGTCTGTGTTTCCTTACTGATGATTATCCTTCTTCAGTAAGATGGGGATAATAATAGTGTTCACCAGGGCTCCTGGACGTCTCAGTCAGGTGAACATCCGACTTCAGCTCAGGTCATGATCTCACGGTTCGTGAGTTCAAGCCCCACATCAGGCTTGCTACTGTCAGTGCAGAGCCTGCTTCAGATCTTCTGACCCCTTCTTTATCTGCCCCTTGATCTGTCTTTCTCAAAAATAAATAAAACATTTTTTAATTAAAAAATATGTAGTATTTACCTCATAGGGGATGTGTCAATATTAAACTAAATAATATATGAAAAGCATTTAGTAGACTATATTGGTACATAGTAAGTGCTGTGAAGTATTAGCTATTATAATTACAATGTACATTCTTAATATATACCTAATCCTCACCTGGTGTATCCTATCATCTTAAACATAAGAAAGGACTGAAGGAGGGGTGCCTGGGTGGCTTAGTTGGTTAAGCGTCCGACTTTGCCTCAGGTCATGATCTCATGGTTTGTGGATTCGAACCCCACATCGGCTCTGTGCTGACAGCTAGCTCACAGCCTGGAGCCTGTTTCAGATTCTATGTCGCCCTCTCTCTCTCTGCCCCTCCTCTGCTCACGCTGTCTCTCTCTCTCTCTCTCTCTCAGAAATAAAGAAAACATTTAAAAAAATTTTTTAAAGAAAGGACTGAAGGAAAGTAACCCCATGAATAAATTCTGGTATTTTATGCTCATATCACAAGTCTGATCATGTTGACAAATCTATTCATATTCACATAGTACTTCTAGGTATACAATAGTCTATAGGAGGGGTCAAAAAAATAGAAAATGCAAATGATAATATTTTATCCAATAAAATATATTCTACCTTTCCCCCTTAACACCTCCATTAATTGTTTCTGCTTGTACTGGGAATGTTTCAGATATACAAAAAGGCGTAAACCACTTTACACATCCCTCCCAGCTTAAGAAATACAAAATTACTAATGCAGGAAAAATTCTGTGTACCCCTCCCACCCCCTGAAGGTAACCATTACCCTGAATTGGTCATTACCTTTTCTAGGGACTTCTTTATTTTTACTATATATATATATATTCCTTTTTTTTTTATATATATATATTTTTTTTATTTATTTCTAGACGAGAGAGAGAGACAGCGTGAGCAGGGGAGGGTCAGAGAGAGAGGGAGTCACAGACTGAAACAGGCTCCAGGCTCTGAGCTGGCAGTCAGCACAGAGCCCGACGCGGGGCTCGAACCACGAACCGCGAGATCATGACCCAAGCGAAAGTCGGACGCTTAACCGACTAAGCCACCCAGGCGCCCCTATATATATATATTCCTAAACAATATTCAGAATTTTTATGTGTCCTTCATCTTTAAATAAACTATCACACTTTTGAGTATTTCTGCATCTCGTTTTCTTGTCTATTTGTCTGCCTTCTGTTTCTTAAGTTCAACATTGTGCTAATAGAAGTCCCCTACTGAGCGCCTGTAGCTCTAGTTCATGGTTTTCACTGCCGCATAATATATTGTAATATATAGATAAACCATGACTTATATTAAAGAGTCTCTCCTCATATGTTTTGCTTCCTAACTGTTGCTATTGCAAACCATGCCGCGGTGAACACTCACATATATGTCTCCTTGTGCGAGTGTGTGAGCTCCCATTAGTTCTACTGTGTGAAGTGAATTGTGGATCAGTAGGCCAAGCACAGCTTCCCCTATGCTGGATATTCCCACATTGCTCTCCGAAGAGTAATTTACTTCCCACAGCACTGTAAATCCATGCCCAATATTTCACACCCTTGACGGCCTTTGGCATTTTAAGGATTGCTGTATTTTTTTGTCCCTAATGACTGTTAACTCCATTATCTCATATCACCTGCTATCCTCACAAGAACTCTCAAGAGGAAAACTTGTAGAAAATTTAACAATCCCCGGATAAGGTCTGGATAACATCAGAAACAAGACTTCACCACAGTCAGTGAACTAACTCCCGCACTATTTCTCCCCAACGACCCGGTCGATCATAGCAACCATTTGACAACTGAGGTGGTTGTGGGCTTATGACTTAGCAACATTTTCTGCCTTAGGCTGACTGAAACAAACCACGTTCAGATTCATACAGAAGGAAACGCATCTAGATAAGGTATAAGGGAATATAATTGGAATGCACCCCTCACTTAAGCTCTGGCTTAAATTAAATATGAGTATGGAGTCACTCACAAGTCTCTTTCTCGTCTCCAGTTGATTCCCTCCACTGGGAGCGACCTCAGAAACCCAGGGCACTGGTGGAGCATTTTTATCAACCCCAGGCTCCCTCAGCTGAGGTGGAGATGACGTCCTATGTGCTCCTTGCTCACCTCATAGCTCACGGTGCCCCAACCTCCGAACAGCTGACTTCCGCCGCAGTCATCGTGAGGTGGATCCTAAAGCAACAGAATGCCCACAGGGGCTTCTCCTCCACCCAGGTCTGTGTTACTTCACCTTCGGGGAACAAAAGTTCTGAACAAGATAGAAAGACATGCAGGAAGAAAAACTGAAGATGAGAATAACTTGAGGAAAATATTATTGGTACTCAGGGAGAGTGAGAAATGAATAAAAATGAAAGTCGAAGAGGGCAAAAAGAAAATTCCTGCAGTTCTGGCACCCCGTCCCTGTTATCATCGCAGTCCCCTCTTCCCAATAAAAAAAACTCTACCTCTCTAAAGAAATGAGACCCTATATGCAATGGCCACAGCAGAATGACTTTTAAACATCTATCTTCTGGAATCTTCTGGAAGTTCTAAGAATTCCTTTCATAATGTTCTCAGGAGCGCTACTCACTATTCACTATTCACCTCTTACTATATATTTGTTCACGAGCAGCACAAAGAACTTACTTTATTATGCCAACATCCTAAGCTTTTCTTTAAATAAATCCATCAATATGTACACAGCAGGAAGTTTTATCTTCAGACAATTTAGGCTTATTTTTCCATACGAATGGAAAAAAATGGAATACTTTTATTACAACAGCTATTTTTTTTTTAAATCTATTATTTAAAGAATGTCATTCAGGTTCAATGCTGATGAGCACTGAGAATATGATATGCAAGAGTGAGAAGAATCCAGACTTCTGGTAATAAAGGGAGAGCTAAAAAATGCCAATAAATCAAGAAGGTAATTATGGCTGCAAAGGTCCTTGGGTTTTCTCAGGGCACTGAACTCAGCAGCAGAGCAGAGTTAAATTTGGGGTGAGAGGCAGACTGATCTTTGGTTGAGTGGTGGCAGTCACGACCACTGTTATCAAGTAAGTATCTTAGACAAATAGCTAAGGCCAATTAATGAGTCCCATTCACATATATTTTCCACATCCCATATGCCACAAATATTTATAGATAGGAAACAATCGATTTTCTGAGAAATAAAATAAGCTTCTGAAGCATACAATCTGGGGCGCTGGGTGGCTCAGTTGGTTAAGCGTCTGACTTTGACTCAGGTCATGATCTCATGGTTCATGGGTTTGAGCCCCACATCGGGCTCAGTGCTGACAGCTCAGAGCCTGGAGCCTGTTTCAGATTCTGTGTCTCCCTCTCTCTCTGCCCCTCCCCTGCCCAAGTCTATCTATGTCTCTCAAAAAAATGAATTAAAAAAAAACATTTTGAAAAAAAAGCATACAGTCCAAGGTAGATATGTGAATGTTACAGCTCTATCTGTGGTATCTATCTAAGGATTCTAATCAATCTTGGAATTAGAACTCCAATATTTAAGTAGCAAGGGATGCGGGAAAGAGGACATCAAAGACCCTCTTGGGGCCCTCAAAAGGTTACTGAACCTATACAGGTTCTCTCACTCGCCTCTTCCAGGACACAGTGGTGGCTCTCCATGCCTTGTCCAAGTATGGGGAAGCCACATTCACCAGGAGCGAGGAGCCTGCACAGGTGACCATCCAATACTCAGGAACGATTCTCAAAAAATTCCAAGTGGACAGCAACAACCGTCTGTTACTACAGCAGACTTCATTGCCAAAGGTGCCTGAAGAGTACACCGTGACAGTGACTGGAGAAGGATGTGTCTACCTCCAGGTGAGACTCTCGGGGCCCAAGGGGACAGAGGGCCACCCAGGAACCGTTCGCACTGAAAATTCCTATCTCAGCCAATGACAGGGCAACGCAGAGAAAAAGAGGAGGAAGTTTGGAGAAGTTCTGTCACCAGAGGAACACAGATTTTTTTGTCTTTGATGTCCCACAGACAACCTTGAAATACAACATTCTGCCAGGAAAGGAAGAATCCCCAATTGCTTTGGACGTGCAGACTCTGCCCCAAACTTGCGAGGGACCCAAAGCCCACATCAGCTTCCAGATCTCGCTGAATGTCAGGTGAGACCTCTGACAGGATCATCTACTTCTGGGCATAACAACCTGTCTTCGTACTGGAGCTCCTCCGTAAGCTGGGTGCTGAGGGAATAAATGTTCGCGCTACACTTATTGTAAAAGCAATGTGTCTTCCTGTCAATACAGAATTTCTTCATGATGGGATATACGTTGTGCCTCCCTCACCTCCAGGATCGATGATTGGGAAGCCTCCTTATCAAAAAGTTAATTCCCCTCAGTAATAACTAAGAAAAGAACATTAACCTTGGCCTCTGACCTGAATTCCTGGTTAATTCTAAACGTAATGGAATTCATCCTGTCGTAATGAGACGCTATATTATTCTTGCTCGCTCCAGGGCAGAGATGGAGAACTCCCCAAATATCTGAATAGGACAATGTAGTGACTCTCTGGTTAGAATTCCTACTGGCAATAAATAAATCTCAGATGAGACACGAAATAATCGATAGGCATATACACACAGCAACATTCAAGTAGCTCCAGGGCTTACAAAAAACTGTATCTGTCCACAAGAATATTCCTGTGGGTCAAAAGTTAATAGTATAAGTAACAAATAACGGGCAGAGATTAGAGGTCTCAGGCCCAGCTATGCATCACTCGCAGAGCTCCCTTGAATTCCGGAGTCTTTTTTTTTTAATGTATTATTTATTTCTGAGAGAAAGAAGAGAGAGAGTCAGCGTGAGCAGGGGAGGATCAGAGAGAGAAGGGGACACAGAATCTGAAGCAGGCTCCAGGCTCTGAGCTGTCAGCACAGAGCCCAAGGCAGGGCTCAAACCCACAAAGCGTGGAATCATGACCTGAGCCGAAGTCGGATGTTTAACTGACTGAGCCACCGAGGCGCCCCATAAATTCCAGAGTCTTGAGTCCACACACATGAAATACTGATTCATCAGGTCCATGGTAAAGCTTGGTCACTGTGGCTTTAACAAGCTCCCTGGATATTCCAATGCACAACCATCTTCCACTTGGGGTGGGTATTTAGGAAGGCTTCCAAGTACTTTTGAGGGCTGGGAGGGCTTACTGTGAACATAGGAAAAAAGAATACTTAATAACATGGACAGCCCTAATTTCCTTTCTCCCCCAAATCTTCAGTTACACTGGGAGCCGCCCCACCTCCAACATGGTGATTGCTGATGTGAAGATGGTATCTGGCTTCATTCCCCTGAAACCAGCAGTGAAAATGGTAGGTCTATTCTCAGTCCGGAAGACTCCGCTTTATTTAATGTTTTGTGTATCTCCAGACTAAGAAAAAATTAAAATATTTTAAATCAACTTCTCCTAAAGACTAATACTTTCTTCAAATCAGAAATATAATTTAGGGTGTTTGTATGCAGGTTTTTTGATGTGTGTTTTTTTCCTCATTGAACTTTGCTTTCATGGGTTTCAAAATTCTGTGAATAGGTTTTTGGTCAAGTTGTACCTATTAAAAGGTACTTATTTTAGGGGCGCCTGGGTGGCTCAGTTGGTGAGGTGTCCGACTTTGGGTCAGGTCATGATCTCAGTTTGTGGGTTCGAGCCCCGCATCGGGCTCTGTGCTGACAGCTCAGAGCCTGCAGCCTGCTTTGGATTCTATGTCTCCCTCTTTCTCTGCACTCTCCCCCCAGCTCTCACTCTGCCTGTCTCTCTCTCAAAAATAAACATTAAAAATTTTTTTAAAAAGTGCTCATTTTAAAAAGCTAATAAAACATATACACTCACAAATGACTGGTGCATAAAATATTCTGCCTTCCTTCTGAAGGTTTTATGAGGCATTATTATCCTTAACTGGTCTTTTAAACTCAAATGGCCAATGGAGACAAACGGTTCTGAGATCATCCTTCCACCACTGATTAAGGCCAGTGTGGCAGGTATTAGGGATAATATTCATGTAGCCTCCTCAGCCTTCCCGGCAGACATGGTGACCTTCCCAGATGCAGTGGACTTTTCATCCACTGCTTCGTTGATACCCACAGGGACTGTCTGTCTCATTGCACAAACAGCTCTCTTCAAGGAGTCACAACTACCAGAAGAAGGATATCAGCACATTCCTGGAGCTTAGACTCTTAAGATAAAGCTTTGGGACCAGTGGAAAAAATATATGAAAATAACCGATGGACATAAACTAGGAGTATTATGGAAGTTCAGAGGAAAACGAGATTGCTATAAATTAGAGCAAGCAAAAAAAAAAAAAGTAAAACAAAACCCCTCTTTCATGAAGGAATAGAATGTAAACTGAACATTCAAATATGGAAAATTCCCAAGTTTAGGATGTTTATTTCATGTTTCTGCAGATATATCAACTTTACACCTAGGTCATGTGCCATGCTAACATTAAATGCTGTACCTCAAGTATCTTTCATTTTTAATTTAAAAACATTATCATTTTTACTTAGAAAAATAATTTGAAGACACTACCCTTGGGCTTAATTTGGTAATCAAAATTTTCTTTTCTCTGGTGTCCCCAAAGGCTTCATCTGTTTATTAACATTTGTAATGTGTTAATTTTCTCCAGCTTGAAAAATCTAACCACGTGAGTCGAACAGAAGTTAGCAACAACCATGTTTTGATTTATCTGGATAAGGTGAGAGCTCTGCCATTCTATTGTAAAAAAATATATATAGATAATACTCCTTCTAAGGGAGTTATAATAATCCTATCCTAAGGGAAGTGAATGAAGACATTTTGGAGATATCACCTGATGGCAAAAATTTGAGCATTCTAGGGGTCCCTGGCTGGCTTAGTTAAGTGTCCAGCTCTTGATTTTGACTCAGGTCATGATCTCACAGTTCGTGAGATCAAGCCCCATGTCAGGTTCTGCACTGGCAGAGGGATTCTCTCTCTCTTTCTCTCTTTCTGCCTCTCCCCTGATTGTGCTGCCTCTCTCAAAATAAATAAATCAACATTTAAAAAAGTGAGTGTTCTAATATTAATTCCAGTAAATATTCTCCTCTCCTTTATTCACATTTCATGTGAGACAATGGGAAGAAATGGCTTATTATAATATTGGGATATGAATATTTCTAGGGCCTCATAAACAAGAAATTCTCTATACAATGTGTTTATTATGTCAATAACCTATTTGGAAAATATTGAGTAATGTAAGGAAGAAACACAACGGTAAACCCAATAGTTTCTTCCTTATGTTATTACGCCAACATCAATTCCTATGTTGATGTTGATACATCAATTATATATTATATCTCAAATATATCAACTATACAATTGACACCTCAATTATTATATCAACACCACATCAGCAATTAAAAAGGGGAAAATACTGTCTGCCTCGGCAAGGATGTACCAAAAAATGATAAAATCAGTCCACCCATAAACCAATCTCATTTTATAGTTGTATAATCTAACATAATTTGTTCATTCATATATTAATGGATAATATTGTTTACAAACTTTATGAAATTTTAGTAAGGCTGTAATGATCAACCTTTCTATATTCCTCTTTGAGTTGACACAGTATTTCTATGAGATAAAGAAGTAAAACTATCCCAAATCTCTTGATATGTGAAAATGGACATTGCCATTCAATCAATAAAATCATATATCATTCACCCCCTGTAAAAAGAGCCCATGTACTAGCATTTATAGGAATATATGAATTGATTGGATTATTTAAGAAAAATTTTGGGGGCGCCTGGGTGGCTTAGTCGGTTAAGCATCCAACTTTCGCTTAGGTCATGATCTCGCGGTTCGTGGGTTCGAGCCCCGCGTCCGGCTCTGTGCTGACTGCCAGCTCAGAGCCTGGAGCCTGTTTCAGTCTGTGACTCCCACTCTCTCTGACCCTCCCCTGCTCACGCTGTCTTTCTCTCTCTCTCTCTCCTAGAAATAAAACATAAAAAAAATTAAAAAAGAAAAATTTTGGAATTTTTCATTTATTCTGGGAACATTCTACTACTTGAGGAAGCTGTCAGTTGATCAAAAGGGTTCTTTTCCCCCAAGAAAGTAGATGATTATTTAAACTCATTCGAAGAAGAGAGAAGAAAACTTTTAATTCCCTTTTGCTTTCTAGGTGACAAATCAGATACTGAGCTTGACCTTCAGTGTTCTGCAAGACATCCCAGTAAGAGACCTGAAGCCAGCCATAGTGAAGGTCTACGATTACTATGAGACAGGTAAGTGTGAACAACTTCCACATAGAAATTAAATTTCTTTTTTTTTTTTTTTAATTTCTAGAGAGAGAGTACAAACTTGGGAGCAGAGCAGAGAGAGAGAGGGAATCCCAAGCGGGTTTCACCCTCAGTGCAGAGCCCAAGGCAGAGCTCGATCCCACTACTGTGAGATCATGACTTGAGCCGATATCAAGGGTTGGTCAATGAACTGACTGAGCCACCCATGCACCCCTAGAAATTAAACTTTTGATCACAGATATTTAGATTTGAGAAGTGTGTTGGGGCTCATTATGCTAACTGTTCTTTTTACTTCATTTTGTCCCCAAGAAGTCTGATTCTTCTCTGTCTTCTATACGTATATTGTAGAAACTATCGATTGTCTAAATATGTCAATTACTAAGACAAACCACCTGTAGGATATTTAGCTCCCTTTTCTTCAGATAACTCAATTATAAGACAACATGAGATTTAAATACAGATAACATTTGAACTGTCCTTCAGAAGTGTAGGGCAAAGAGAAATACAGCACAGTGTATTTGAAGAGTTAGCAACCTAAGACCATAAACAATGCATCAAATGGATGATACTGAAGTTTCTGATCCAAGTATTCCCATAAGGATTTTTTAATGGACCTGTCTCCCACTGATGTTTGCTTTCCGTCTCACTTCACCTAATGGCTTCTGTTTTTATTCAGATGAGTTTGCAGTTGCGGAGTACAGTGCCCCTTGCAGCAAAGGTAAGCAATGCACATGCTTTCCAAAGGCAGTCAGACCCCCTTTGGTTTGTCTCTCACATAACATAAAATTCTGGCTAAATATTTTTCATAGATATCGTCTTGCTCACAGTGCAACTTATTACTGAAAATTGCATTTCTTGGGAAAAGGCCACTGATGGTCAAGCTTTGGAGAGTTCATAGGATTACTTTTTGAATAATTCTAAGTAATAAATCTCACTTCCCACTATATTAATCAGGTTTCCTTGGGCACCTTGCTGCCCAGGTCTAAAGGACAGAATATTCATTGCTCAGGAAACCCACATCCCTCTTGATTTTTCTCTTCTTTCCACTATCACAGATCATGGAAATGCTTGAAGATCACGTCAATGAAAACTGCTTTGCTGGGATATCTGTCCCACAGACTCAGTTCTCTGTGGAAGAGAGGTTTTTTGGTATGTCTGAAGATGTGAGGAATAAACCTTTTTTTCTGGTCAGTCTTTATCACTGTTTCCTCATTCGTTCAATAAACATTATAACACTTCCATATAATTCCCAATAGAATCTTAAGATTAAAAATTCATAGCAATCAAAGGTTGAAGGACTTCAGAACATTAAGACTGTTACAGGGATGTTGGTCTGAGTAGGTTTCATTTGGGGCTTCAGGGGACGTATTGGATTATGTACTAGGATATGGTTACAGGAATACCCTAAGAAAAAGCTGGAGTGTGTTTTAGGAGAAAATATGACTGTCTTGGCTAGAAAAGACTTCCCTCATTAAAGGGAAATAATGAAATATGATGTTGGATAAGTTACATTGGGAGGCAGCATAACTAGTTAGAACTTCACCTGAACTAGGGTTACATGTCCTCAGTTAGAACCAGAACTGCCATTGATTGAGTGATCAATTTCAATAAAGGATGTCAGACTGAAAATGTTGAAGGGGTGATACATCAGAAACAATTTCTCTTAGAATAAAAAGTTGACAGAAATTAGCAGCCCGAATGAGGCTGTTATATTGGAGCATTTTCCCCCAGAACTTTAAGCCAGGTTCAAAGGATAGGTGTAAATTCAAGAAGCAATGCAGAGGCAGAAATCAGCATCCCCACAATGTCCAGTCTCTACATTTTCTTTGTAATAAGTATTGACATCATTTATTGTGTGGATACAGGAGCAGAAACTTCAAGAGTTTGTAGAGATGTCTGGAATAATCCTAGGAGTCCTGGTCTTCATTTGGGTTGGTTTGACAGAAGCTTGGGTGGTATCGGCTCAGAACTCTAAAGGACTTTGAAGTTCAAGCATTCTTAGCTCTATCTCCAGATTGGGCAAAAGTAAAAGATAAAAGTTGTCACTGAACTCCACGCATTCAAGCCTGCCTTCTCTCAGCCCTACATGAATTCCAAACCACTTGCAAAGCTTCGATATCACTGTAGAGGCCCCACACAGAAGAGCTCACAGGACTGATGGAGCACAAGATTTATCCAGCACAAATTTGATAACCAGGACCAAGCTAAAGTCCTTCCAAAAAACAGGGAAGAAATGATTCTCCTAATGGTGAAGTGGTCAGGGACAGGGTTTCCCTCTTTGGAGAATCATCTCCCTTCCATATTTTATATAATTTTCAGTGTGATGTGGTGGAAAAAGCACATGTTTCCAAAGATGTGGAAAATGGAATGGTCTCAAAATTCAACTCTGCTATTTAGCACTTTACACAGTAATCTTACCCAGCACTTAACTCTTCTCACAACTCAGTTTTCTGATCTGTCTAAAAGGAGAATAATATCAACCTCCACAAGTGTGTATGAGGATGAAAAGACAAAGGTCCTCCACATAGTGGACCTCACTGGACACAGCGGGGCTGACTGGAGACAGTGGCCACTCCAGTTTCATCTGCAAAACGGGATTAGAAACAGCAACTACCTCAGGAGATAGGTGTGAGGAGTGCGCTTAGTCTCGTTCTTGACACACAGGAACACTCAAAAACTGAATGGTAGCTATGTATTAAACAATCTTTTTATTTTATTTTTTAAAATTTATTTCTGAGAGAGAGAGAGAGAGAAGCATGAGCAGGGGAGGGGCAGAGAGAGAGAGGGAGACACAGAATCTGAAACAGGCTCCAGGCTCTGAGCTATCAGCACAGAACCCTATGCGGGGCTCAAACCCACAAACCATGAGATCATGACCTGAGCTGAAGTCGGACGCTTAACCGACTGAGCCACCCAGGTGCCCCTAAACAATCTTTTAAAGCCTGCCAGTAATAACATGATTTTTTCAAGGGAAATCTGTTCAGAAATGGAAAGGCTCAAGGCTGTTTTTGAGTAATGATAACAATGCACTTGGAGAGCAATTATCCACAAAAAAAGCAAACCTGAGGGGCACTTGGATGGCTCAGTTATAGACGACCAACTCTTGATTTCCAATCAGATCATGATCTCATGGTCGTGAGATGGAGCCCCGTGTTAAGCTCCGCACTGACCGTGGAACTTGCTTAAGATTCTCTCTCTTCTTCTCCCTCTGCCCTGCCCCTTCTCTACTCACACCTCTCTCTCAAAAAACCATTCTCTGCCAGCAGGGCAGGGGAGGAGGGAAACAGGACTGAGGCTAGGGGGTTCTGGTTCCAGGACCTGCTAGACCTCGCATGTAAGACTCTGATGCCCAGCCAGCGCAGAGCCGCTAATGGTTCAAGATCCAACGTCAGGTCTCTATGTTCCCGCTCCAAACTCTAATTGTGCAGGTTCCCTCCTGTAAAACGTCCGCAGCCTCCCTCCCACCCTCATTGCCTTCCCCCTCAGCCATGTTGCCTCCGCCGCCCACCTGAAGGGCGGCTGTGTGCTCCGGAGCATTCTTGTCTCCAAACCAGTCACCAAATTGCAGCCAAAGTGTTCTTTGCAAAACTCACATTTTTTAAAGTTTATTTATTTATTTTGAGAGAGCACAAGCAGGGGAGGAGCAGAGAGAGGAAGAGAGAGAGAGAATCCCAAACAGGCTCTCCACTGTCAGCACAGGGCTCGATGTGGGGCTCGAATTCACAAACGGTGAAATCATGACCTGAGCTAAAACCTAGAGTCAGACACTCAACCCGCTGAGCCACTCAGGGGCTCAGAAAATTCACATTTTGTTGTAATCCTTCTTTGTTGAATGACAATTGGTGGCTTCCCATTACGTTAGTCCACTGGTTCTTTCTAGCCTGTCAGGTCCCGCGTACTCCCCTTACCTTTTCAGGTCCCTCCGTCTTATCAGCTCCTGAGATGTACAAGACATTGCAGTAGGCCCTCAGCATGCACAAGTGAAGAGATCAGAGGAAGTCCTGCTACAGCCCAACAGGAGAGACCAGTGTCTAACTGGTGAAGTAATTACCTAATTAAAATGTAACGGGAGACCCCTGGGTGGCTCAGTCGGTTGAGCATCTGACTTCAGGTCAGGTCATGATCTCACAGTTCATGAGTTGAAGCCGCACATTAGGCTCTGTGCTGACAGTGCTCTCATGCACTCTCTCTCAAAAGTAAATAAGCATTAAAATAAATAAATAAATAAATAAATAAATAAATAAATAAATAAATAATAAGTAAAATGGTAATGAATGACACCTAAGGAAGCAAGGGTGCTTGAGACCTCCTGGTGAAGGATGGGCCAGGTGGCTCACAGAGACTTTAACTCTCCACTCCTTCCCCAAATATTTCAGCCTTGAGTAGGATATGCACACACATACATGCAATGGCAAGGAATGGGATGCTGTTTCTTTAAGAAATAAAAATATGATTAAAATGAAAACATACTTTTTAAATGACAAAGCAATTTATAAGGAGATTGATTGAAACCCCTATTGAAGCTTCAGTAGTGTTTTGTGCAAAAATGGAAAAACTCATCCTATAATTCATATGAAATTTCAAGGGACCCTAAAGCCAAAACAATCTTTAAAACTAACATTTTAGGGGCATCTTGGTGACTCAGTCGGTTAAGCATCTGACTTCTGCTCAGGTCATATCTCAGTTTGTGGGTTCAAGCCCCACATCAGGCTCTGGGCTGACAGCTCAGAGCCTGGAGCCTGCTTCAGATGCTGTGTCTCCCTCTCTCTCAGCCCCTCCCCCACTCACACTCTGTCTCTGTCTCTCAAAAATGAATAAACGTTAAAAAAAAAACTTTAAAAAGAAGAACATACTTAGAAGACTCACACATCCTGATTTCAAAACTTAAATACAAAGCTATAGCAACCAAAACAGTGTGGTCTGGCCACACTGTATCAGATGTATCAGTGAGATACAAATGAAAGCACAGAAATAAACCTTCATATTTACAGTCAGTTGATTGTTTAACATTTTATTTCAAAGAGAGAGAGAGTGCAAATAGGGAAGAAGAGCAGAGGGAGAAAGAGAGAATGAGACAGGGCTCAATCTGAGGATTCTGGGATCATGACCTGAGCTGATATCAACCAAAGCTCTGAGTCACACCAGCGCCTCTATGGTCAGTTGACTTTTTTTTTTTTTTTTGACAAGGATGCCAACACCATTCAATGTAAAAAGAAAAATCTCTTTAATAAATGGCATTGGAAAAACTGGATACCCAAATGCAAAAGAATGAAGACAGGCCCTGGTCTTCTATCATATACAAAAACTAACCCAAAATGCATCGCATACCTCCAATCCCTATCAAAATAACACCAGCATTCTTCACAGAGCTAGAACAAACAATCCTAAAAATTGTATGGAACCAGAAAAGACCCTGAATAGCCAAAGCAATCTTGAAAAGGAAAACCAAAGCTGGAAGCATCACAATCCTGGACTTCAAGCTGTATTACAAAGCTGTAGTCATCAAGACAATATGGTACTGGCACAAAACAGACACTCAGATCAATGGAACAGAATAGAGAACCGAGAAATAGATCCACAAACATATGGCCAACTAATCTTTGAAAAACAGGAAAGAATATCCAGTGGAATAAAGACAGTCTCTTTAGCAAACGGTGCTAGGAAAACTGGACAGCAACATGCAGAAAAATGAACCTGGACCATTTTCTTACACCATACACAAAAAGAAAGTCAAAATGGGTGAAAAACCTAAATGTAAGACAGGAAGCCATCAAAATCCTAGAGGAGAAAGCAGGCAAAAACCTCTCGGCCACAGCAACTTCTTACTCAACACGTCTCCAGAGGCAAGGGAAACCAAAGGAAAAATGAACTATTGGGACCTCATCAAAATAAAAAGCTTCTGCACAATGAAGGAAACAATGAGCAAAACTAAAAGGCAACTGACAGAATGGGAGATGATATTTGCAAATGATGTATCAGATGAAGGGTTTAGTATCCAAAATCTATAAAGAACTTATCAAACTCAACACCCAAAAAACAAATAATCCAACGAAGAAATGCGCAAAACACATGAACAGACACTTCTCCAAAGAAGACAGCCAGATGGCTAACAGACACATGAAAAAATGCTCAACAT